TTGGGACGCAAACACAGTACGCTATATATGCGAATAAATGACTGATCAATTGCAATCTTATACATCAATGGGAATATTCAAGTAAACAATACGAAGTGAATATGTTATGGATTCTTTTACTATGTTTAAACTATAAGAAACCAACTTGAAGTAACAGTACTTCATACCTAATAGAAACATTTTGAAAAGTCTTACATTGATATAATCCTCAAAACTTTTGTAAATCAATGAATGGCTCAAATAAAACGTATTTAGTATCATAACAGGGTTTTGTGGAGTACAACAATAGGACGAAACCACTGTCCACTGCTTCCAGGTTTTCCATAGTGGTCTAGCTACAATTGACTTATAATCTCAACTATTGAAATTACTATAATATCCATAAAATAACCTTCTGATACTAACCAACATATGCACACTAGTGACTGGCTTCAACAGGTATATCCTGGAGTTCTAGACAGAAGTAGTGATCAGTCAAGTTCAACTGGGTCTGTTGTGTGATATCAGATCACTGATGACAATGCTGGATGTGTCGCTCAATTTCATGCATTACTTCAAATCAGATAATAACACCGTTGGCTGCCAGCTGGCTTAGCGGTCTAGTGGTAAAGCGATCGCACGCCTAGACGTATAGATCCTGTGTCCGAATCCCGCGAGGTGGGATCGTGGATGTGCACTGCTGAGTAGTTCCGTACTATGATGTGTTGGCCATCAAGTGCTTCCAGCTTTTCTATTGTGGTCTAACTTCAACTGACTCATGATCTTAGCTACTGAAAACGTATTTGTTTATCTATTTATTTATTTATTTATTTATTCATTCAAAACAACAACCTTCTCTATTTAATAAACGATAGTTTTAAAAAAACACCTTAAACAATTTCATGTTTATCCTTTATTAGTCTTATTTGGTACCACATTTCTTTTTCCTTCTTCTATGAGTTGAAATATAAGCCTTACAGATATGAAATGAAAATATTTTTGGTTAAACTAATGACATAATTTGTCAAAATTGTTTTATTTTGTTTGTTTGTTCTTTCACTATTCACTTCGTATCTAACCGTGTCATATATGTATAGATATCATAGTAACTGTTACCACATAAGCATGGATGATGTTTTTCTTTTCTCTCTCGCATTATTTACTTGTTAAATAACATTGATATTCATTGTCAACAATTTTATGTTATTATTATTGTGCTTGTAATGGTGTTTAACATGTTTACCTTATTGTATGTTTACTGTCAATAATATAAACAATCATATATATATATATATGTTTATATGATAAATGTCCTATTTAAACAAACATACCAAAGAAGTAGGAACAGGTTATAAAAGAGAATGATTGTTGTTGTAAAAAAGAAATAACATATATTACTTGTGATGGTAGTTGTACGTGTCGGTGATAAAGATGATATAGTATTTTTACATAAAAAGAAACAATGAATTGAAGGTACTTATGATATATATATATTGGACAGATATATTCATTTAATTTGTGAGAGAAGGATTTTTGTGGATATTATAGTAATTTATTAGATGAATTTATAAGTCAGTTATGAAAAGGCATTTGATAGCGTGGATAGAACAACATTATGGAAACTTCTTCGATACTACGGCGTGCCTCAGAAGATAGTCAATATCATACAGAATTACAATGATGGATTAAACTGCAAAATCTTGCATGGAGGACAGGTCACAGACTCGTTCAAAGTAAAGACCGGTGTCAAGCAAGGTTGCTTACTGTGACCCTTTCTCTTTCTCCTAGTGATCGACTGGATCATGAAGACGTCAAGATCTGAAGGGAAGCACGGGATGCAGTGGAAATCTAGGATGCAGCTGAACGATCTAGACTTCGCAGATGATCTGAGTCTCCTGTTGCACACGCAACAACAAATACACGAGAAGACGACCAGTGTAGCAGCAGCAACCTCAGCAGCAGTAGTAAATCTCAATATACACAAAGGGAAAAGTAAGATTCTCCAATAAACCACAGCATGCACCAATCGAATCACAATTGACGGAGAAGATTTGGAAGATGTAAATACATTTACATATTTGGGAAGCATCATTGATGAACACGGTGAATCTGATGCAGATGTGAAGGCGCGGATCGGTAAAGCAAGAGCAACATATTTACAATTGAAGAACATTTAGAACTCAAAACAACTGTCAACCAACAGCAAAGTTAGAATCCTAAATACAAATATCAACACAGTTCTACTGTATGAGGCGGAAACTTGGAAAACTACGAAAGCAATCATCCATAAGATAGAAGTGTTTATTAACAGTTGTCTACGCAAAATACTTCGAATCCGTTGGACAGACACTCGTTCAGCTGCATCCTAGATGTCCACTGTATCCCGTGCTTCCCTTCAGATCTTGACGTCTTCATGATCCAGTAGATCACAAGGAGAAAGAGAAAGGGTCACAGTAAGCAACCTTGCTTGACACCGGTCTTTACTTCGAATGAGTTTGTCAACTGTCCTACATTCACGATTTTGCAGTTTAATCCATCATTGTAATTCTGTATGATATTGACTATCCTCTGAGGCACGCCGTAGTATCGAAGAAGCTTCCATAGTGTTGTTCTTTCCATGCTATCAAATGCTTTTTCGTAGTCAATTTCATAAATAACTTGGTAATTCTTATTACAATGTCCTTAGATTACAGTCTTTTCCCATTAATTCATCGAATTTTGGATCCAGATACCATGAAAACTAATTTTAAAAAACTTTTAATAATCCTAGAAAGAATTGGGTAAATTTCAATCGTCTACTGAATGAATCAATATCTCTAATGAAAACAATAAAGAATCAATCAGAAACCTTTGAAATCCTGTTTACTAACAGACTTATAAGAACCATAATAGTTTTTATATCACTATTAGTAAAAACTAAGTCCGTTACTTACTTACATACTTACTTACGCCTGTCACTTCTCATGGAGGAGCATAGGCCATTCAACTAAGTTCGTTAAAGAAGTGTAATTCCACTTTCATGATTTGTATTTTAAAGTGCATTTTTTCTGGTTAACGGTTTTTTAAGCGAGTTAATTTTCTACGGGATCGGATCGTTAACCCTATGCCCAACTCTCATTCTTTATCCGGACTTGGGACCGGCAGTAGCCCCAGAGGGTCTCCAGGCGGAGTTGAACTTCAAAGTAATGAGAATATGGGAATAAATTACTGTCAAATTGAAAAAAATTCCCCTCTACATCTTTATCGTAACTACCATCGAAGTAATACATGGTTGAGGTCAATATAAATATGAGTTCATGTTACATTACTAAAAACCAGTTAATTGTTATTAAATTCTATGTACAGGTACAGAACGTTATACTGATCTTTTCATACGACGACAACATAGCTGAAAAGAAACATTTCCGACCTTTAGAAGTTTGGATAGGAATATTCAAAAATTGTTGTGTAAATAAAATTCTGTATGGTAAATATGTTTGGAAATGTTCACAATACGGATAGTTTATAACTAAATAGTCATCTAGGAGGAATAGAGAGATCATTTATCTCACGATGGCGCTAGGCAGAGATGAGCAACAACAATTTCATCAAGCTTCACTTACCATTTAAAATATAATCGCTTGTTCACTGATAACTTACATTATAATGAGATCCTAACTTTTTGTATCCTACGAAGTTCACCTAAGTCGTGCACTATTACAAAGTGACTGAAATTGGAAATACGTACAATGAATCGATAACTGAGTAACTCAAACAGTCAACTGTTCTCTACTAATACTAAAAACTCATGTGTGAATACTGATTCGGGGTTGTATAACAAATTTTAAATGGTATCATGACTAAAATTAATCATTTCAAAACTTCACCTAGAAATTAAACAGGATGTTAATTTATTATTTGATGATGCTTAAATACACTTTTTCTCACTTATATTTGGAACTACTAAGGGTTTTTGTGGATATTATAAGAATTTAATAGTTGAATTCATGAGTCAATTAATGCAAAACACTACGGAAAACCAAGAAGCATTGGACGACCGTTTCTTCCAAGTAAGGGTCACTTCAGCAGTGCACATCCACGACCCCAACTCACGAGATTCCAACCCAGGACATATCAGTCTCGGACACAAACGATTAATCTCTAGATCACTGAACCAGCATCCAACAGTGTTAATGTTTAACTACAACTAATCCAAGAAATTGTGCCACCATCCACCATTGTCATCAGTGAGTTACTATCTCACAACAGATCCGGTTGAACTCGACTGGTCACTAGTTCTCAATTGAATTCCAGAAAATACCTCTTAGAAACCGTCACAAATAAGGAGTTCCATACTAGGACGAAACAGCCGTCCAATACTTCCAGGTTTTCCATGGTAGTCTCGTTTCAATGGACTCATGAATTCAACGATTAAATTAAATCATAAACTATTTTCAATTATACTGTCAAATCAGATTACATGAAATATGAGTTGTTGTTTTTTTTTTTTTTTCGTTAAAAAAATATTTATTCCCAAATTATTAGTATCTAATTCCAACTTTCATTCTGATTGGTTAACAATAATCAACCAATCATAATCTGTTCATGACTTAAAATTGGGAGAAAAAGAATGATCGTCACATTGCATTAATATATGGGCATTTTTAAATCGTTCATAAAATATATATTATTCCTTTGAAAATTGAGGAAATACAATTTACATGATACAAATCAAGTATATCAATGTTACATATCTTCAATGTTACCTTCAATGTTATATTACTTCAATGAAAGGAATACACTTTATTCTATTATCTCATCGAATGAGATAAAGAATTAATAACATCCATGAAATACTTCTCTATTGAATCATTGTAATGCATACTATACAGTGAATATGTATAATATTCTTTGTATACTATATTACTTATAATGAATAAATATACAATCATATCTGTTTACAAAATACAAACTATTTTGATATGAATAGAATGGGTATTAGTTAAGTATTAAAGAAGAAAAACAAAATTAAGGTATCAATTATGCCACAAAGAAAAGGATTATTAGCTCCACAAAATACTTTTCTTGATACAATTGCAACACGATTTGATGGAACACGTAAGTTATTTATAAAGTAAAAACTTATATATTTTTTGGCTACAAACTTTTTATCAGAAAAGGTTTTGTGGAGATTTTTTTTAGAAATTTCACTGTTTGAAATCATGAGTCAATTGAAGCTAGACCACTATCCCGTGGGGGTGAAGGATCGTGGATGCGTACTGCTGAGGAGTCCCATACTAGGACGAAACGGCCGTCCATTGATTTCAAGTTTTCCATGGTGGTCTAGCTTCAATTGACTCATGATTTTAAACAGTACGAAATTTTTCTTAGATTGTGTTTATATAACTATTGTATGTGCTATTGATGTAAACAGATACGAAATAGTAGGTAGTATCAATTGAAAGTAAAATGTCTGGTGGCAGATACTTAAGAAGACTGTAGAAATGAGAATGGGAACAAAGAATGATTGATGTGGAAATGGAAGAACAATAAGGTTTTAGATGATTGATTGACATTTTGTAATTGAAGGATTTACTGTATAATGTCAGTTTCGTAATTTAGAGGTTAAGCGTTTGTGTGCCAGATCGAAAGTCCCATGTGCAGGATCATGGATGCGCATTGTTGACGAGTCTCATACTAGGAAGAAATGTCTTTTCAATTAGATTTTCATCATAGCTTTACACTAATATATATCGATATGATTTGCAGTAATGAAGTAATACTCATCGAGTGGATACGTTACTTAATAATGACATATCGATTATAAATTAACATTGAATAATTGGAAGAAAGAAGATTAATAATAATAATAATAATAATAATAATAATAATAATAATAATAATAATAATCAAAGTAATTATTCGGAAGTCAAGTAGTTGCTACGTTGCATAATATATGAAAAACAGAATGAACAGAATATTTTGATGAATGATCAGTAGAATAGTAGTTATGACTAACCAAGGTAGTACGAAAATAGTTGTGCTACAAACACCCCTATACCGATGGCCAATGTAGATGCGTTTATAACAGAACTATTTTCGTACTTCTTCCATTTTTTTTTAACTTTGTACTTTTCCTCAACATTCATCACTTGATTCTTACGTGATGACTAGACTACTGATCATTCATCAAAATATTCTGTTCATTCTGTTTTTCATATATTATGCAACGTAGCAACTACTTGACTTCCGAATAATTACTTTGATTATTATTATTATTAATCTTCTTTCTTCCAATTATTCAATGTTAATTTATAATCGATATGTCATTATTAAGTAACGTATCCACTCGATGAGTATTACTTCATTACTGCAAATCATATCGATATAGTTTTTGGTTGAGATCATGAATTAATTGACGTTAGACCACCGTTGGAAACCTGGAAGCACTGGACGGCCGTTTCGTCCTAGTGTGGGACTCCTCAGCAGTGCGCATCCACGATCCCGCACCCCGCGGGATTCGAACCCAGGACCTACTGGCTTCGCGCCTGAGCACTTAACCATTAGACCACTGAGCCGGCATCCAATGGTGTTAATGTCTAACATCAACCAATCCACGAAATTGCGCGACCACCTTCCATTGTACTTAGGTAGATACCTGTCTCTACCCGACACGGATTAGCTCCACTGATCACGACTTCTCACTAGAACTCCGAGAATTCCCTCACGAAGCTAGTCACTAGTGAGCACATGTAATTATATATATTAGTGTAAAGCTATGATGAAAACCTAATTGAAAAGACATTTCTTCGTTTGATTCGTTCCTTCTTTATCTACTGAATGTCACTTCCCGAATTTCTCTCATTTGATATCACTCATATTACAACTCAAACTAGAATTATTCTTTTGGTTTTCATGTACTTTGCAAACTATTTTACTTTGTGAAAAATCATTAAAAACTAATATGTTATCAAAATACTACTCTTCTATAACCGTATGAGATCGAATGTTCTTGGTTCGAATCCCACAAGGAGGAATCATGGATGCGTACTTCAAAGGAGTCCCATACTAAAATGAAACGGTTGTCTTGTGCTTCAAGGTTTTCAATAGCGGTCCAATATTGATCCATCTATGATAATTTAGATCATTTTTACTAAACGGAAATCACTTTTCTTTAAAATGTTTGGTTGACATCTCAATATTGAATGTTTATTTTAATGCGTTGAATACGTACTATTTTCAAGTTGAATGATAATTCATCTAGTTAGGTCATTACTGTTTATTATCATAATTAAAATGAGTGAAATAATGTTATAAGCCATGACCATTTCTTAACTTCTCTTTTTCTATTTTTGTAATTCCTTTATCCCTATACAAAATAATTGAGAAATAATCAGAGGGGAGTTTTGTGGATATTCTAGTAATTTAATAGTTGAATTCATGAGTTAATTGACACTAGATCACTTTGTAAAATCTAGAAGTACTAGACGATCATTTCATTCTAGTATGGAACACTTCAGTAGTGCTCGCCCACAATCTCGACCTATGAGAATTGGAACCCAGGATTTTATAATCTCACACACACCAACGTTTAACCTCCAGACTACTGAGACAGTAATAAAATTTGTTTTACATTCTCATGGTGTTTTATGAAATTAGTCAGTGATTAATGTAATTTATGTTTATGTAATTAATTATACAGCTTGTTTTCTTATTATCCTCCAATGATAAGCTACATCACTGTTTACTAAGTACAATATATTTTCTTTTTAAAGCAATTAGTCCCTTTTATAAATTTCGATAGAACAATGAGAAGACGGAGTTGATCTGAAAAATGTGATGTATTTGCGCTATACATTTCGAACAATCTGGTCACACATATTTTGTTTTCTATAGTAAAGAATATTGAAAGAAGTTAATTAGATGCGGATGATCTCACTGAATATATACCTATCTCTACCTCTTTACATCCTATAGAAATGAATGAGTTTTTGTCTCTTATGGATTGTTGGTTTGTTATTAATGGTCTCATACTTAATCCGCCTAAACGTCAAGCTGTTAACTTTAGTATGAAACATGAACGGCATCAAACCATCACTTTGGGATCAAATAAAGCTTGTGCCACTGGAGACTCTTTGATAAACACAATGTCGAAGATCAGTTATCTTGGTGTTACCTTTTCCTCTGATCTGTCTTGGTCTTCTCACGTTTTACTGTTACCGAAGAAAGTTTTCGGTCTGACTTACTATATAAAGAGATTGCATGCTCTTGGGATTACTCGACATTTACTCTTACAATTTGTCAATTCTTGCATATTACCTATTATTCTTTACTGTTCTCCAATATTTCTTCCCGAGCTTTGGAGAAAAGACTTTGTTTTATTAAGGAGAGTGCTGAAGGCAGTTAGCAGGGTGTGTGGTGAATCTTTCGAGGTCATATTTAATGTGGTTGTGGATAGACATCTAAAGTCATGCAAACTCCTGGCAGGTGTTATTTTATCAGATACTAACTATCCCCTCCACTCATATCTTTCTCTTTGTATATCTTCTGGTAGAACGAGACTTAATTACATTGAAATCCATGCACACAAGCAAAAGTATAAAAGTTCTCTAATACATTACCTAGTAAATATACTCTGTGACGAAGAGAATTTTTTAGTCGGCAAATTGAGTTTATTTATCATTTAAAGATGTTTATTTGGTTTTGATTGACTGTATATTGTATTATTATTGGCTTCATTCAGTAGTATATGTTTGGTACAGAATATTTCAACAAGTTTCTTTTTCTTATTTCTTGATCGATCCTTACGATAAATAGTCATTGATTTCTAGTTAGAAGTTAACGGTTCAGGAATCAACATCTAAATAATGTTCATTCATTTTAATGTCTGCCACCGCGATGTCTCTTATTGTAGTCTTTTAGTAATTTGTATAGCGAAAGGTCGTAAACTTTTCATAAACGCACCTAAATAGGTTATGAGACTATTAGACATAGTGATGTATTAAAACAAACACAAAAGTATATAGCTTGTAAGAAATATCTTGGTGACGGGAACAGGTAGCATAGATATTCATGCAGGCCACACATGTACACATGCTTAATAGTAATATTTATTACACAATTGAGCCAAACTTTCCCAATGTTAATTTCTCTATCTATCTGTCATTTGATGAATATTTAGGCCATTAACAATCAAACGATTATTAAACTTTCCCTGTTTTAAAAGGAATTTTTTTAATAACTTTGTTTATTCAACCTCACTGTCAATATGACTAACAGAAGTTTATTATCAGTATTATTATCATCCTGTTAATATAAGTATATATAGGTGTGCCACTGCACAGTTTTGGAAATAAATTCGCTGTAAAGGGAACTCTTCACTGAACTAATCTTTCTTATTTAATGTCTTAACGAGTGCATTCCATTTACTAAAAAGATTCCGAATAAAATGAACATCGGATAGATTGTTACAAATAAAATTAATATATTTGTAATATCCCAATAAGTAGAAACAATAAAGTTTCTGATGTTTCGTCACTCAGTGTAGGCCACTTCTTCAGTGAATAAAAACGATAAAGTAGTGGCATACGGTGAGTCACAAAACAACTCAATGTTGTTGATAATTAAGAAATAGGTGGAAAAGAAAGTACAATGAATTCATATTTTCCATTAAACCCTAATAAATGTAACATTACAATATATGAAATTTTCCAATTAAACTTTTCAAAACATCAAACAAAAGATATAGTATGGGACTCCCCAGCAGCGCACATCCACAATCCTGCACCCCGCGAGATTGAAACCAAGGACCTATAAGTCTCGCGCCAGGCGCTTAACCAACTGCTGAGGAGTCCCACACTGGGACGAAACGGCCGTCCAGTGCTTCCAGGTTTTCCATGGTGGTCTAGCTTCAATTGACTCATCATTTCAATCAGTGAAATTTCTAAAATTCTTTATATATTGAATGCAGAGGAAAGTTATAGTATGAATTCATATCTCAGATTATCTATGACCAGGGATCTATTCAAATCTATCCAAAAAAAAATTGCCGGACTCAGACATGACATCATCTGTGTTTCAACCTAGTCATTCGGATGTCATAGTAACCATAATTTAGA